TGTGTGTGTGTGTGTTGTGATACAACTGTTACATGATCAACACATGCAGTTATTACTGAACTGGTGTCATGCAGTATGTACAGTCAGTAGTTACATAAGTCAGCTTTGTCCCACATCTGGACAACAGCTGAACCTGTATCCATCACAGCCCTCACGTTCAGAGCATCCATTGACACAGGCACACAAGTTCCACGTTTTTTTTTATTTATGAATGGTCAGTTGTGCGGTTGATATGACTGCAGAAGAAAGCGGAGTCTGAAAAATATTTCTAAAACAATTTGAGTGAAACTCTTCCAGACAGACAGTCCTCAGGGTGGTTGATATGATTTCTTAAATACTGAAAGGCTTTGTGTAACTTAGGTTTTCTAGTCATTTTGGTTGCTGCTTATCAGGCTTCTTAAACTAAACAAACATTTATGGAGTCGTACATCTTCAGTTTAATGAGCAGATCATTTTGAGCTCATTGCCAAACACTGAAATTAGTATTTGTAATCGGTGAAACACATTTGTAAGTATGAAACTTCCCATCTTTTCCATGGTACATAAAAGCAGCAGCATGGGGATTCACTGGTATTTTAATCCAAAGAGTATAAAGGAGTGTAAAGAGGGCCTTGCTGTGATGTAGCCTGAACAGGTTCAGGTTGTCGAAGTGTTTACAGGACGTAACCGAGCGCATTGAGACACAGTCTGTGACTGGCAGGTGAGCTGTAGTCTATATACAGCATGTACAGGATCAATCCCAGAGTGCAGTGGGGCTACTAGACCACGTGCCTCGACCAATCAATGGTGCTTTAACCTCAGCAATAATTATAATAATTGTAACAGCAATAATTTAAAGGGACAATTTAAATCTCAGCTGACTACAAATATTCACACACAAAGTAACAGGACATGAATTTGACAATGGCAGATTTCTAAAAGCTAACCACTTCAACCCCCACTGAGGGGTTCAAAATAAAAATAAAAAGTTTTACAATCCTCTCTACGGAGAACCTACGGCTGAAATAAAACATAAAAAAATGAAACCGTAACAGACAATACAGCTGTGAATACACTTCAAGCAGTGAAGCATAATGCAAAACCTTTGAACTCAGATCACTTTTCAAATACAGATCTTTCATATATGTATATTTCCTTTGTCAGGAACCATTGAAAAATAATGGAAACATGCGGAAAACAAGCCATCTTGTAAAATAAATGAAAGAACTTTCAATCGTGATAAACCCTGGAAAACTACAGTACTTCAGCTATGTAAGCTGATTTGAAACCTTGTCATCTGTATCTGAGCTAAGCTGATCTGATGGAGTGCTGAAATGAGGCGATCAATACATGAAAATCGTCTATGGTAGTGTTACATTTTGGGATTACATGTGGATCCCCTCCATCCAGAACTGGAACAGGGGGATGAGTCTAAAGATAAGAGTAGAGTGGAAAGAAAAGAACCAAAAAACCATTGATAATTTAAGTGGTAAGTTGACATCTCTTTCCTTTCTCCCCCTCTTTGGCCTTGACTCTATAGTATCTTCTATAGAGCCAAGTATCTTCTTTCCTCCTCCCGCCCTCCATAAGGTTGTGAATGATGGCCATAAACTTCTGTTTTTTCTCCTTACTTTACACTGAATTTCCCCAATCTGGCTGTGGTACCAAGGTTACATTTAGCAACAGTATTTGAGCTACAATGAAATTACCTTTAAACTCAGAGAAAATGAAGTGCAAACTGGTTATGAAAAGGAAAAACCTTGTAGTGTCAACCCATTTTAAGTGGATATGTGGTCTGAGGTTAAACCACAGTTTGGCTTTGGCAGCTATTCTCACATAACAGTATATACACAACAAGCCTCCGCACACTGTACACATTCTTATAGATATTCATATATCTACTATATATATATATATTTATACTCATACATATATAGATATACAGAAAATATATATATATATATATATATATATAGGAACAAAGAAAGAAAAGCTGTGGTTCGATTGCATCAGATGACGGAGTGACACTGAACTTAAAAATACAGCAACATTCTTGTTCGGGTCAAAACACATTTTACAGTCAATGTTTTTTAAAAAAATGAACAAAAAAGAAGAAGAATAAATGTAACGAACATCAGTGCTTGTCCACATTTTACAGCATGAGCAAAAAAAAGGTCAAAACTCAACATTATATAACAAGTGCTTCCTCTTTGATCAGTAATCTTGTTAATGTCCTAGAAAGCGCTTTTCTCTCCTCTATGAAAGACAAATAATCCCTCCATCCTTTCTTTAACACTGTTTCTCACGTGGCTTCACTCAAAGGGGCAGCTTTCAGTCCCAAGAAGGGGATTTAGAACATTTTTGGCTTGAGAACGTTGCCACATCCACAATAACAGGTTTTTATTAATTGTTAGCAAATAGATGAGTTCCTATTTACAATTCTATGAGGACTGAAGAGAAAGCGACCCCTGTCCTTATCTTTATAGGTTGATGCTGCACTGAGAACAAAAATAGACTTTTATCTTGCTTTCTTCAGGCAACACTATAGGTTTAATCACTCTGAATTCATTCTTTTTATATCAAAACTCATGTTTCTGTCTGTACACGCATGGACTGACTATAGTACAAATATACAGATTGCCCAATAGAGACGTTCAACAACACCAAGAGACTCAAGAGCTTTTGTTTCTCTTTGTTCTGCAGCTTTGTTCTGTAGTTTCTAGAGCTATAATGTGGCACACTTAAGCTTTTTGCAGTCAAGGTTACACACTGCAGTTTGTGCGCAATTTCTAACATGGCACAGATTGCGAGGAACTAATACTGCACTGCTTAGGCTGTTTCTACTATGGCAAAGGTCAGCATGCTGCAGCACTGGTTCAACTGTTTGTTTTTTACAGCAAAGCTAAGGATAAATTTAGCAGCTGTGAGCAGTGTTACAGTATAATATAGTCAACAGAATACTATTACGTGTACAACTGTGCGACAAAGCGTTCTGTACATAAAAGGCCAGTGTCCAATCAGAACGGCAGCATGCTGGAGGAGATGGGACGAGCCTGGGAACACCTCGCATTATTTTCACTGTTGGAAATCTTATGTAAAATGTAAATCTATGTAAATTTTCCTCCAAAAGTTCAATTGAAAATGCATTGTGTTCAATTTCTTGTACTTTTAAGTACAATTATAGACCAGATTTTCTGTGGAGAAACACCTTTTTGAGGACATGAAGTGTCAGTTCGGACTAGGCCATGTAGTGTAGAGAGCTTAAGTCTTATTGGCCGATCCAGAGGAGCGTCGCAGCTTCATGGACATGCGGCTCTTGCTAGTCCGAGGAGACATGGGGGATGCCGAGTCGCTCCCTGCCTCCCCAAGAGCCGGACTTTCTCCCCGAAGAATCTCTAGGCAGGAGCCTGAGGACGGAAAGGGAAGAGAGTGAAGGGGAGGTGGGGGCGAGGCGAGGGGACGGGGGTGGGGGGGATAAAGGAGGAGTAATAAGAGCAGAAAAAGGATGAAGAAAATTACATCCACACCCATATGTTCTACTGAGTAGACTCACTAAATCCCACTAGTCACACAGGCAGGACAGACAGAATACACACATCACACACACAGCCACCACACCACACAACACATCAGAAGGACAAGACGACAGCTGAATAGAGAGGAGTGTATGCATACAAACCCCTTTTTATTTTATACTGGGATCCTATCTCCTAAAACACCAATAGACCCCAGCTCAGGCTTCTAGAAACGTGGATTATGAAACACCAACCACTTTAACTGACCCCTTGTAGGCCAATGCTTCACATCTGGGCTAGACATTACTATCTATTACCTCCCTCATAACCTTTAATTTATCACCCAACCACGACCCCCCGTGCCCCTTCAAGCGCTTGCGCCCCCCACCTGTTCCCTTACAATCTCTCTTTCCCTTTCCGTCATCTAAGGAGTCATCTGACTATGAACAAGACCTTCTTCTTTTAGGTGCTAGAGTATGCAGTAGAGTCTGGCTCTTGGGAGGCAGCAACACATGCTTTAAGAGCAGTGACTCGGCATCACACCCTATATTTTTGACTCATAACAGGAAAACTGCACAGAATAACGAGAGACCGCTACAACAAGCTGAGTGTCCTAGTCGAAGAGTTGCGGGAACCGACTTTCTCCCTGGATGTTCATATGTTCGCATGCAGAAATACAAAAGGAAGGCCAATTCAAGATCTTCACCGTATCGTATCTACTTACAATGACCTAGTCACACGAAACAGTCAATTGATACAGAACTTTCATAGTAACATAAAAAGAGTTTATCGAAACACAGAAAACTAAATTCTTTTGGCCTTAAACAAACTTAGTATATAATAGTAGCCTTACACAAACTATCAGATCAGAATATCGCAATCTACATCCTAGGTGCATGTTTTTTCAAAATTGAACTCTGTTGAGGATATGGATACGGTTGTCACAGTAGATTTACATATTTGTGAATGACAACCTGTCCTTATTTACAGATTTAAGACTGTTCCATATCAAGAATTGTTGATGGGAAATCCAGGGATGCGAATGCCGCGTTTTACTGGTTACCTCACAGGATCCCAGTCCACATCATCCTCCAGCATAGCGCCTTATCTGATTAGGACAGTATCGAGGAACTTCCTCCACCTGTATTCAAAGAAAATGGAACATATAAATGACGCATGCAGTTGTACAACTTTTGATGCAATAGTATGTCTGTATGGAAAACCTTTATGAGAGGTAGTAATTGATTAACAACTAAAAACACTAGCTTCAACAGCTGCTATAAAACATGGTGGGTTATCGCTTAGCTTTGCTGTAAACTATATAACAAAGCATAATCTATAGATTAGAATATCCTTACAGATGCATGCAGACATGCTCGACCGTACTTTGCTTAAAGTAGTAGATAAAACTAGAGCATTAAGCAAAGTGCAGTTATTTTAGTACTCGCACAATATTCTTGTGTCCACCATTGGTATGACTGGAGGAAATATGCCGCTATACAAGCTTTACACAATAGCATTTAGTAACACTCATGACTGCATATAAAATATGTCTCTAAGGTGGCCAAACAACCCTAAATTATATCTTCTAGAAACTACAGTAACAAAAGCTAATGAAGGACCAACAAAGAGAATCAAACAGAAAGCTCTTTGGAGTCTATTAAAATTACCTTATGTGTTGAACCTTCCCCTTTTCGACCGCTCTCCATGATGCTAGGGCTCATCATAGTAGCATATTTTTATGTCTATATTTCTTATGTTTTCCGGACTCATTTAAGCGACATATTAACAACAACGAAAAACTTTCATGGAGTGAGTGGTCCTTTCATATTTTTATAAAGAATGATTGCAGGAGTAGATTAGGAGGGAGGAAAACGTAATTCAATAGTAAATTGCCTGAAGGAAAGCGGAAGAAGAGTAAAAAAGTGCGATGATTGATGGTGCAAGTTCTCCCAAATATAGCAGCATCAAGGAGCCGGTATAAAGATAAGGACAGGGAGGGTCAAGCGATTTGCTACTTGCCAGTACCTCAGATAAGAAATATAGGGCTAAAAGGAAGAGCGGAATAGGAAAGATCTCATCTAGTTGAGATAAGACATAGGATAAATAAAAACACTAAGTTATAGTGGTTATGCAGAAAGGACAAAGTGGGCATACATAAATTATCAGCCAAAGAGATGTATCGAAAAAGTCCCGACTGTATTGGAACTGAAAGCTGCCGCTGCCTATGATGCAGGGAGATGCAGGATGAGTGGTAACAGAAAAAGTGAAGAAAACAAGTGAATAACAAAGAAAGGTAAAGAATGAAAAGGGAATATATTATGATACTTTCAGATAAGAAAGGAGTGGAGAACACAATGTAAAGGAAAAAACGATTCATTATGCGAACTTATATAACCATTATGTCCATTACAAGGACTCGATCAAAAGGAGAAAGGGAAGCACAATAATTCACACAATCAAAACACTTCTACAAATAATGTGAAATTTGACCTTATCTATTCTTGACTCTAGACCGATAAAGTAGGGAATGGAAAAGCACCAATGTTATTAGATAGTTCGCACTTAACATTCCAATTCTTACTTGCTCATTTTTTTTTCGATTTTTTTATACACAAACACCACCTTGACTGAAAACACATGTCGGTTTTGACTATACGAACTATATTAAATAAATCTTTTTGCTGTTATTTATATATAAATTCTAGTAATTCACCTAAACTAAATCTGGACTGTATGCGAAGAAAAAACCAACAAGCTAAATTCTCTTTCTAATGTTTTAAACAGCTATGTTATAATTTAATGGTGTGGCCTTATATATTATATATATTTTCTGTATATCTATATATTGTTAGTAAAATATGAGTTAAATCAACCATAATTATAATAAATATTTCACCTATAAGTCTGTATGGTAAGTGTGGGGATTGTAGTGGGTAATATCTATAAGAATGTTACAGTGTGCGGAAGGCTTGTGTAATACTTTTATGTGAGAATAGAGCTGCCAAAGCCAAACTGTGGTTAACCTCAGACCAATGTACACTAGCGTATCCCACTAATAAAATGTGATTAGCAATACTCAACTACAAAGATTTTCCTTAGGAATATCAGAGGAGAGGATAAGCCCAAGTTTGCACCTTCAATTCTCTCCTCTCTC